TTCGCCACTATTGGCTCTTTCTGGCATACAGATCTCTGACAAAGACTTCAAAAAAGCAGTATAGAAGTTGTCTAAGTCTCGACGCAAGCATTTGGAGATTAGTCTATTCAGTTAACTGTACGCTGTTAAATCTGCTGAAGACTGCAGCTTCATTTCCCGTTAAACAGCCATGAGATTAAGAGAATAATCGTAGAGTTTTGTGTTCTTCGGCGGCGGGTCTTGTAGAACCAAACTTCGACCGCATGGATAGTTTCCATTAGCTTGTCATTCATATCGTTCACTGAGTTTCAGTCTTCTATTTTAGAAACGATTTTGTAAATCGAGCGGAAAGTTTTCAGGACTTCATTGGCTTGTTCTCTTCAACTTTACGCTTAGGATAAAGATATTAATAGTTTATTCGCAACCATCCGCTCAATTAAATACAATGATGTGTTTTACCTGGATTGAAGAGCACCTCCCGCCCGCCCTCAATTGTGTGCACTAATCCCGTCACCACTAATCCCAGCTCCATTACTCCCAACACCACTACTCCTAACACCACTACTCCCGGTACCACTACTCCCAACACCACTATTCCAGGAATTTTTTTAGGAAGTATTTAATTGAGTGGATGGTTGCGAATTGACTGTAAATATTTTTTTATAATGGATTTCCGCAAAGTAACTCCTGATTCTATCAATTATTTTACGTTTTGGTTCTGTGTGCCTCTCACCATTTTGTGATCGCTACCAGTTTTCATCCTCTCAATAACTGAAACATCATTAAACAGTTGCGGTTTAGTCGTCATAATGAATTCTTTGTCGAATTGTCGGCGTTCGACCAGGTACAATTTCTTTGGGGCCGCTTCTGGAAGAAAAAAATCATCATAAAGATTTATTCTTTTCTATGAAGCCGGCCAGCCAACGGTCCTTTGGTTTCCGTTACCCTATCCCGAATTTTCTTATCTTCAGCTCAACGTTCTATTTTGTTCCCAGTTTTGCGTTAAAGTCTCCAATTAACACCGTATAGTGGGTTTTGGAGGAATGGACAGCCTTAGATATATCCTCATACATTTCCTCCAACTAGGTACTCATCGGGATGTGTGGAGGTTGGTGCTTAAGCCTGCATGACCTTAAGCGAATAACGTTCAATGATTCTGAGTACAATGTATGCAACGCTCGTCGACACACCCTCAATATTTACAAAGTTGTTAACATTGCAATGACTTGTGGATGATAAACCCGACATCTCCTTGGGACAGATGATCACCCTCCCAGTGATAGAACAAGTTGCCGGATTTCCGGATTACCGTGGCCTACCCATCTCTTCGGACCTCGGATAACCCTACAATATTCCAGTGCAACTTGTCTATCTCTTCTTCCAGCTCCAGGATCTTCTCGTCAGTCCTCAGGGTACGTCCGTTATATGTAACCGGGTCGAGTCAACTTAGGTGGCAACCGAACCTCTACTAGAGATTCTTGGCACCCCTCCCTCACCGCTACCATGGTCGCCACCGTAGCAAATATACCTCAAAACTTGAAAACGAGATTGTAAAACCAGTACATGTTGCAAATAATGACTTATGGATCTGAGATGTGGTCCTTAACTGCTGACCGTGTGATGAAATTCGAGGTTGCTCAACGAGCTATGGAGTAGTGCTATGCTCGAGGTTTGTCTGCGTGATAAACTTAGAAATTAGGATATCCACAGTAGAACCGGAGTGACCGACATAGCCCAACGGATTAGTTAGCTGAAGTGGCGTTGGACCGGCCATATAGCTCGAAGAACCGACTACCCAGGCGAAGTATAGGGCGACTCCCTACTAAATCAATTGACGAATTGGAAAGACATGCAGGAAGTCGATGATTCCGAGAGCTTGAGTGATTTGAGTCTTATTAGTTTTTATTATTAACACAATATTTTTATTTTGCGTCAAGATAATGGTTCATACGCTAAAATCCGAACGTAAACATTGTAGCACAGTATTAACAAAATTTGTTTACTAAAATGACTCATATTATTCACACTATAATAATTAGTTTTGTGACAAAAAGAGAAAAGAAGTCATCGCGCCACTTACAGAAAAGGACAGAACAACATCTACCGGACCTCCTTGTATACCAGCGCCCCCTTGTGAGTTAACACCATAACACGTATCTTAAAACCATCGCCAATGAGTCACATACCTTTTACAGAATACGTTATCTAAATCCGTCCACCTGACCACCACCACAAAAAATGTTTATTGCAGCGCTCCCTGGCGAGTTAACGTCATAACACCTATCTAATACTATCGCTGATGAGTATTCTATCACTATATTTAGCAAGAATGGGTCCCTCATCAGGGCCACACTCTCACAGAATACCAGCGTAAAATAGCAGCTTAATGCTGCTGTGTTTCGTATAGTATGGTAAAGAACCGGAGACCTTTTTTACTGGAAACGAGGCATTCCGTCTTAATCCTCATGAATGACAACGCATCTGCTTTTTGATTATCGAGGATAGACGTAGATGTCTATGTGCTACAGCAACGTATGTGCTCGTTTCTCACCTCTATTCTATATAAAAAAAGTACTTTACAGAACACAGCATCTAAATCGGTCCACGCGTTTTAGAGATAAATGAGAACATTCGTTTGCACAAATAAACAAACATACCTCTCACCCTAAACGCATACCTACCCGTAGCGGGTAAAAGTCAAATATTATATGACTAATTATCTAGAAAGTAAATAACCGACCTTGTTCGTGAAATATGAACATCACACGCTGTAAAGCGTAATAAGCTGAGTTTAGCCTAATCTATCATCCATAACACTTCTGATATAACTTTATTATAACAATTTTATCGCGATGCAGATTAGTGGAAAGGATGATTGTGCACGTCATTTTGATTTCACTGTCAAGAGCTTTATTAACCAGTCAATCCATCGACATAAATGACATATGGCAGCTTTTGTTAAAAATTCTGTCCCAAATTCTGTAAAAGTGTTTTAGTTAATTATGGAGTCTGTTGAAAGACACTTTCATGAGAAAAATAACACGATTTCATCTATTGTGAGGTAAAAATTTGGTATTTATTTAATTCTATTTCAATTTTAAGTAAAGAAAGATTGACCGAATTGGTCGAGCTTTATTACTGTTTATTTATTAAGAATTCGCGAAAATCTATACAATTTATTATAATTAACAAAATCATAAATGCTAATTTGGTGATTTTCAAGATTGCTTTTTTTTTTTTTGTAATTTGAAAGGCCTAAATGGCTGAGCTCCTGTTCTAATACAATTTTTTATAGTATAAGGGTGACGAACGAGCACACAGTCCACCTGATGTTAAGTGGATGCCGTGGCCCATAGACATTTACATTTATCTTCAATTAAAAACCAAAATGCAGATGCGTTGCCAGCCCTGAGGACTGCGATGGAATGCCTCGTTTCCAGTAAAAAGGATCTCTGATTTTCTACACTCACCGTACGAAACACAGCACTATTAAGCTGCTATTTTACGCTGGTATTCTGTGAGAGCGTGGTCCTATTCCGGACGAGCCGACCTATTCGTGCTGTAACCACAATATAGCCGCAGCATAGCTCTGCCACGTAAATACACACCACGTATAAATACGCTTAATGAGTTAGAATAGTTTCTTAAGTGGAAATATTTCTTTTCGGCCTCGGAGTCGATCTGGATTGGCCCCACCTACCGCCAAACAGCAGGTCTTGCTGTTAAGGTCTCAATGCTATAGAGACCAATACAGTTATAAGCTGTGAGCCTTTCCATCTTAGTCCTCAGAGGTGACAATGCACCTGTAGTCTTCCTTGTTTGAAATTGGCTGCAAGTGTCAATGAACTGTATTAGCCACTTACTGCCCCATATAATCTCAATCCCTAAAATCTGAGGGCTGTCGGAGTACTACAAAGAAACATTGCAGTAAGTAGAAACCGGGCTAAGTGACACCTTTTTCTGGTAAAGAGACACGCTTATGATTTGTAAGAGTTAAATCTCAAAAAGTTGCCATATTCAGAAATTACTTGCAGAGAAATATTGAAACTCTCAACTATAGTGTGTCTATCCAACTGGTCCCAAAATTCAGTACAGCATATATGCCGGTCATGAACATATCATTAATATGCTGTTTGAAGAGAGTTGTGGAAATAACAAACCCCCGAGGAACTCCGACGTTAGCCGTCATAGCCTAGGACGAGTAGCCCTCCACGACGACCTAGATACTAGATAGTTCAGGGAGAAGCCGTAATCAGCAAATGTTTTCCCACTGTTCCCTAGGGCCTCTCTATCGCAAAGGTATTCCAAAAAATAATTTGAATTTTTCCAGGGAACAAAATGAGGTGTTAAATTTTTTAAATGCGACAGCACACCCTCTTTGAGTAAGCCAGTAAATTAAATCGTTCTGATTTTATTACGATGTTTTGAGGGCTAGAAAAATGTTGTTTTGTTTCGATTAAATTGATAACTTTTAATACGTACTATACGTTTAAAAGTTAAATGCTAGTGACAAATTAAAAGTATAATTTTTATCTAAAGACCAAGTAATATATGTCTCGACTCTTATCCCGTTAACGGATATAAAATTTTAATATTTTTTTTATAGAAATACATCATGCAGCCGTGGCTGGTTGCGTCTAGTAGTACAAACAACATTTGGAATTTTAACAGTTGTGAGCTTTGTGCTTATTGTTAAAATGTCATTTTATCGAGCGCCCAGCAATAGGCCTAATTCAAACACCCGTAATTGTTTATTAGATCGTTGTACAGTGCAATGTAATGACGTTCCATACTACAATAACTATGAAGAGGATATAATTAATGCTGCTATGGTATTTCTTTCTCTTTTACTTGATACTAGTAGATTATATTTATTGAAATGTATATTATTATATCGCACGAATTTAAAATACTTCCTTTTTTGTTTACAGGAGGCAGAATCGAATTGTAAATCAATTTTTTTGATACTTAAAAATCCAATGTTCGTTAATTCAATTTTACCTTTAAATTGGTTATCCAATATGAGATCTAATATCAGAACATTTAGTATTATAGGTGGAAACCTTAATCAAATACCTCCAGATGCATTTATGAGCCCCTTTGCCACTAACGTAAAAAGTTTATTTTTGGAGGATATTACTATAACATCGTGGGTTCCAGAAACCTTTATTGGACTTTATAATTTAGAAGAACTATTTATTAAGAACTGCAAACTATTAAACATCCATTATAGTGCATTGAAGACTATTGATGATACTTTAAAAATGTTAGATATTAAGGCTACAAATATTTGGAATCCTACCAACGTTACTGGAGCAGCAGATCTTATAAAACTAACGACAGTTGATTTTTCTAAAAATGTTTTTCCTAATTTCCTTGATGAAAGAAGTTTTTATAAATTAGAAAATTGTAAAATATTATATTTAAACTCGTGTAAAATAACTTCTATAGGAAACGGTACTTTCGATCGTTTAAAGAATTTGGAAATTTTATTTCTTAATAACAATGATATTTATCAAGTTCCTGTTGGTTTATTTAACGTTTTTTTGTCAATGGAACACAAACCAAGAATAAATTTGCAAGATAATCCCTGGATTTGCAAATGTTCTATTAATGATTTAAGGAATCTACATCTTCAAGACTTATTAATAGTTGAACCATCATGCTATTATCCAAAAGAAGTTCGAGGATATACTTTTACAGAGTTTGAGTATTACTGCACTAATGATTTACAAACAGAACTCATTATCTCAGATACAAACGTTACCGAACTTTTGTTTGAATACAAAAGCAATGAAACCTTTAACATGAGCAGTAAATTAACATGCAACAATCAAAGTAAACAAACCGATAGTGAATTATTTACTTTGATATCACCCTTTTTTGAATATCAGTGCCTAAATAATAGAATTCATAATTTTGAATTAGTACCACTGGCATCAAACGCTGTTTCTGATTTATTAACTATGAGTAGTAGTTGGATTAAACCAATATTTTATTCAGAAAGTCAATCGAATTCGCTCGTGGAAGTAGACCTCATTGGTCCTTCCAGTTATAGTTTGATTTGGTTTCAATCAGCATGTCCTAAAGAAATTTATTGCATGTCCAGTTTACCAAAAGTTCTGCGAGTCTACAGTGTAAATGAAAACGCTTATTACACATTTTGTCGTATCAAAAATGGAACAGTTCTTAACGAAGAATGCGTAGCTTATAACTTATCCAAATTAAATAGTTCATTTGGCCATAACACTTCTTTACTATACATACTAACGGCTTTTGTTTGCCTATCAAGTGGAGCTCTATGTGTTTACGGTCTCATTCGTAAAAATCCAGGTCTTTTGAAAGGAAGCAAGAGAGTTCTTTTTGTGAAACATAAGCAAGTGGACGCGTTAGTGCTTCCTCCTAAAATACCCTTAAGAAATAATGTAACCGACATAAGCTCAACGAATAACAAAAGCAGAAATATATTTAAAGTATCTCCTCATATTACCAATTCGCCTTGGAAATTCGCGCGGATGAATTCTACAAGAAGCACCAATAGTAGCCCAAGTTACGTTTCAGCAATACAACCGAGCGAGGATCAGCTCGCACAATGGCGATTGAGACACCACTATGATAAAGACTCTACAATACATTCAATAGATTCAAATATATCTACACTTTCTTGGATATTCGAAGCGGAAAGTATACCGTACTTTCACCTTGATCGCAATGAGCCATTATATGACCATATTAATTTTACAGAAAGGATTTAATTTATTTTATCATATTATCTTTGCGTATAAATTATTACTTATTTATGGTAACAACAAAAGATTATAGTATCTGCATGTATAACAATATCAAGCAAAAAAAACTCAAGCATTGGACATTTTTATACTAAACACGAGATATTTTGACAGTGAATAAATCAACTACAGCTGTTTGGGATGCTACGAGCCAAAGTAAGAGAGGTATTGTTATAATGAGTATCATTGAATGGGTGCTCTATTTTAACTGCAGTTATAAAACTACTGTAGTTCCCAGCCGAAGCACAAACTTCAAACTAAAAATGTATTTTTAAATGAAGTAAATGTTTTTAAATATTTTTTTATTATATTACCAACAACAGTATATTATGGTACTATAATAAATGCAACTTAATAAAAACAATATAATAAAAAGTTGCTCTTTTTCCCAGTTTGTTTTTTATTTAAAATTTATTTTATTAATGTTTTGTTCCTGGATATATTCCTATATTCATTACGATAATTGTTCTCATATTTAATTAATAAAGATAGTCTCTCCGAAATAAAAAGGATCTATTTAAATTAAAAGTACGAGCGCTAAGAATAGTTAGAAACTAACTACAATAGAATATTGACAGTCTTTTTTCCGGTGCGTTCTGCACTTGGCAGTGACACTGTCATGGCCGACAGCTGTAGTTTTATTCTTAGAGAGTAGTTTATAATGGATATGAAGTTACTTTAGCATGTTTTTGCGATCCAAAAAATAACAAGTTATACTTTATGGATATGCTTAATTATTATAATATGATTTTAATATATAGTACGTGAGGGTAATAAGATCATCCGGTTAATATAGTCACTTTCTTATGACTTAAAAACTACAACCTTGTTTGCATAGATGTCTCTGTCATATGATAGCTCTTTATCAGTCAATCAAACATTAAAGGGTCAAAAGGGCTCTGCTTCATCGACGCCATTTTGACAGTTGACATTATAGTAAATATCTTTGTCTATTTTAGTATTGTGTAGTGTCGTTAGTTTGTTTTGGGTTGATTTTTCAAAGTATTCCTAATTATTGCCAGCGCTTGTTTGCTATTTTTTATTAATGAGCTAGTTATAGTATATGACGTTTTGCTTTGCTCTTTCCTTCTCCTAGTTTTGGTTTTATAGGGCGGCAAAGGTTGAGGTAACCATATTACGCTCACGTACCTTACTAGTTACTTTAACTTGTTACAAAAAAACTAAAGTAATTATAATATGATTGTAATACCCCTTTTTAATAATAGAAACAAAGAGTACAAACTAGTAATACCAGTTACTCTATTAATAGGCTTTTATAATAATTTTGTTTTAGAGTCTCAAAAGATATAATATTATGTCTATCATCAAGTATTTCTTTTTTATTTTAATATGGTATAAAATAACCTCTACGAAATGAGAAAATCCCTGCACCCTATTTACAATTTATTTTAATCTAATATTCTTCACACCGAATTTCGGTCACGGCGCTTCGCGGCAGTCTGTCTAAACGGAAACAAGCCCAGGATAGGATTATAGTGACCGAGTGTAGACGCAAGCACAGGTGCACTCTCTATTCCCTCACTTTCATAGTCCGATTGGCCGGTAATTCTACACGACCTCACAGAGATTAGGGACATCTCAAAGGACAACACACAATATTTAAGTGCTTTGTAATAGCATGAAGGATAATTCATACTACACCGTTTCGCGACCGGGCCGGGCTCCACCCGGGGCACGTCCACCGTGCACCGGCCGGGCCAGTCATTCATGCTACACCGGGGTGTTTGCGTGTATTATTTGCACGGCCGTGATAGACATGACGCTTGAATAAATATGCAATTTTCACAACTTGATATTGTTTTACAAATGACATTTTTGTAAATCCAAAATTTGTATCCAAATACTTAGGACGAATCATATCGTAAACTACTTGATACTGGCGCTCATATTCTAGCAACTTTTCATCGTCCACTTTGATGTTGAGCTGCTCACACCTCAAAGATTTGTCGTCGAGAGCACTGCGGGCACCCGGGGTACACGTTCATGTTACAATGTGTCGAGGCCGGGCGGAGCCGGTGCCGGGAAACAATATCCACCGAAATTTTCACGCCGTGCCCTGGCCGGGTCCTGACGGCGCTCGGCGGGGACACGGCCGGTCCACGGTCTAGCATGAATCAATTCATCCAAAAAGTATACTGGGATGATTAACCGTGTCCCGGCTCGGCCGGGGCCCGGCGCCACTGGACTAAGTTTTCGTTAACTCAAAAGTACACTTTCAAAATATATAATATAATACGCAAGCAAAACTTAACCCTTGGCAACATCAATTAAATTATTAATTATTGTAAATCATCTCTCATCAGTGAAATCTCACAAAATATATCCGAATGATACTTTATAGGTACTTTGTCAGTATTCAATACGTACATGGTTTTATCTTACTTGACTCAAGGTCAGTGGTGGGATGTCAGTGACTTGGGTGCCGTAAAATGTTGTTTTTTTTTTTTAAATCTATGTTGGAGTATCCACTAATGTAACACGAAGATTAGATAACGCGTTAATTGGATGGTGACATTGCAATAATATATTTGCGTCATGTACCTTGCCAAGTGTCGCTCAGTATTGTAAACGCCGCGTTCATTTATTTCAACTATTTGGCGTTTTATAATGTACAGACGCGCGGATCTTTACGGCAAGCTTAAACATTCAAGATAAAATTATCATCTTCATCACTCAAAGTCGAAATTTTTATTCAATTTAGCTCATGTTTTCGTTTAAATCTACACCGATTCGATAAAACAAAACTACAGAAAGGATTGTCAAGAAGCTATGAGTTTTTCTTTTTGTTAAATATTATGTCACAATTCAATTTAAAACAATTCTTAAAATTTATATATGTATAAAATAACAGCCTATAAGCACAGGCCTCCTCTCATTTCTGACAGGGTTTTAGGGCAAGGAAATTTTCGCCGCGCAATGTATATATATATGAGTATATATATGATCGTTGGTTGCGTCTGCTACTAATCATGTAATTTCTGAGTGACTAAACGGATGAAGATTATATTCACAATATATTATTAGTTTTGTCAAAACGATAGATTGAAGCTAATTCTTGAAGGTAATCGAAGTCATATATTAGGTAATAAATTCTATATTTATTTAACTGTCACAGAAATCGTATTATTATTACAATTTCTGTGTTTAGTGTAGTTTTACGTGTAGAGCCGTGCTGCAACTATATTATGGTTGTAGCGCGAATGGATCGACCCGACCGAGGAGGCTTATTGCTGCTGCTGCGTTTCGAATGTTGACTGTAAAGAACCGGGCCTTTTACTGGAAACGAAGCTTTTGACGTTAGTCCTCAGAGGGTAGACAATGCATGTGCACTTTGATTTTTAATTGAGTATTGTCAGACTTATATATATATATATATATATATATATATATATATAATATATATATATATATATATGTGTATATGTATATGTATGTATCTGTGTATGTGCGCGCACACAGTGTGTGTGTGTGCGTGTGCGTGTGTGTGTATCATCGTTCACAATTTATTGCTCATTTTATAGTAGGCCTTTTTATTAAGTTTTCCAAAACAAATTTATTTTTATTTATTTAATCTTTATTATACACCTTATATACTAAGGGATATAAAGGGCGGACTTAATGCCTTATGGCATTCTCTGCCAGTCAACCTTGGATGATTTGAGAAACTGTGCCAGGTGTAATCAATGACTTGATAAATAAATAATAAGGATATAAAACAAAATAAAATGCAAATGAATAGAATAGATACATAGTTAGTTAAATATACATACTTACTTAATATATAATATAGGATAAATAATAAATATATAAACGGGTACTTCTATACAAAACTATAAGTAAATAAAATATTATGAGACAAAAATAAAATAACACAGTACATATTAAAATACATTATACAAAATATTACTTATAAAGTGAAAGAGAGAAAAAAACAATAGTCGGATAGCCAGGTGGTACTATTCTTACGACAGAACTCTCGAACTAGTCTTTTAAAATAATTCTTGTTATTAATTTCCTTGATATTGTTACGCGCCTAAGTCGACGTCACTAGCGCCATCTAGTGTCAGAGACGAGAGCGAGGGGAGCTTTCCAGAAAATGACATCACTAATCTTTCAACCGACAGCGCCATCTAGTCTCGAACCGAAAAACTAAAGTTCTAGAAGTTGAAACTCGAACTCTCGCTACCTTGCGCGTGTTTACTTGAATATTCTGGATATTTCGGTGCTAATTTGTATTTATAGGCGCTGCAAGATGCGATCGGTGAAGTATTGAATTCGGCGAGACAAGCGAAGCTTCGGAGCGAAATAAAGTGAATCAGTGTGATTAATTATTGGTGTTTTAAGTTTTAATTAGTGTAAAGAAAATTAAAGTGTTAATTTAGGTAATTCTATCGGCAATTTTTATTGTCACGAACCTTAAACTCGTAAGAATATAAACAGGCAAGGCATTCCAGAGCAGTATCGACTGTACAGTAAAAGAGGAATTAACGAAACCACTCCTATGTGGTGGAATACGAATTTTAAGACAATTTTGGGAACGGGGAACTCTATCGTTAGTGGAATACAAATATTGAAAGTTATGCTTCAGATAAGAGGGAGAATCGGGGTCATTTAAAATTGAATGTACTTGCAAAGTTCGGGAGCTACACCTTTGACGAATAGAGACCCATTTAAGCTTAGATCGGTACTGGGAAATATGGTCATACTTACGTAAGCCGAAAATGAATCTAATGCAATTATTGAAAAGGCGCTCCAACTTATCGAGAAGATATTGAGATAGATCTGGGTAACACACATGCGCATAATCAATAATGGGTAATATCAAAGTCTGGATTAGCGGAAATATTTTTAAAAGGCAGAAAGTTTTTGGGACGACAAAGAGAACGTAAGGTGGCAGTTACTTTACGGCTTGTTTCGGCAACTTGAACTCCCCAGCTTAAGGTGTG